GAACTTGAAAAACATACAAGGAAATTGCATAGAGGAAACCGGTGAGAAAATAAAAATAGCTATAGTCAAGGCTGACGAAATAGTCGCAAGTAAAATAAAAATAAATCACAAAAACTAGTGAATGACGAAATAGATACTTGATCTAATAGAGCAATGCAGTCAGTACAGAATACATCAGAATCAACAGGAATACAAGGAAATCCAACGTATGATAAGGGCAAAAATTAAAAACGCAAAGAAAAGCTGGATGAAAGAATGATGTGAAGAATTGGAATCACTACAAGAAAAGGGAGACAGCTTTGGACTACATAAAACAGTCAAAGAAATTTCGAGTACATACAAGAAACACCATGAGACTCGCCTGAAGAATGATCAAAGAAACTACGTTTATACACAGGTAGAACTAGCTAAAATCTGGGCAAACTATGCTTCATCCCTCTTGTATGGTATTACTATGGAAGCCATAAAACTATTGGAAGATGATAACATCGACATGCTGGTAACAATTTTCAATGCCATATATAACACCGGCATATTCCAACAGATTGGCTTTATTCAACCTTTATAACGATCCCTAAATCACAAAGAGCGACATTTAAGAGGGATGCGACAGGGGTGTATTTTGTCTCCTATGCTCTCCAATCTCTATGTAGAGAACATTTTTGCAGAGGCACTGAAAGGTTCTGTGTGTGGAATAAAGCTAAACGGGTTCCCGATAAATAACATTCGTTACGCCGACGGCACCGCTATAATAACAGACAACAAACAGGATATGCAGTTGACGTTAAATAAAATAAACACCGGAGAAAAAATATATGGCTTGAAGATAAATGCTGGAAAAACTAAATACATGGCAATAAGAAAAAACGTACTTTTGAGAATACAACTGCAACTAGATGGTGCTCCAATAGATCAAGTAAAAACATTTAAATACTTCGGAATGATGATGAATGACCAATGGGATTCTCAACAAGAATTAAAATGCTTTACCGAACAAGCCAGACAAGCTTTTATTAAATTTAAACCGCTACTATGTAACCGCAATCTTTTGCAAAAATAATTTTCATTATTTTCTACTATAACAAGAATGATTGTCATATGATATTTTAAATAAAGTTTATTATTTTATTCAAATTATCCTCTTCTTCTGTGAATAGTAATTCGTTACTGAATGGTAAAATATGCTCAAAAGCTCTAAAGCTCGGTTGTACCTGCTTGAAATTACGTCTTAAGGTTTTTAAATATTAGTATTTTCTTCTTCCAGAACTTTTTCTGTCAATAGTTTTTCCTTGTATTTTTTTACACATTTTATGGGTTTCCCAGTTATTAATACTTATATTGAATTTGCTGGATGGTTAAATGCTATGTATGGTCCATATTGTTATACGCCATGGAAACATGGACGTTAAGAGTACCTTTCATTAATAAGTTGGAGGTCTTCGAAATGTGGACGTTGCGAAGAATGTTCCGCATACCATGGACAGATAGGGTGAGAAACGAGGTCTTAAGAAAGGCAAATACTGGGAGAGAATTACTCAATTTAATCAAGGTACGAATAATTGGATACCTCGGCCACATTCTGAGAGGCACAAAATACGCAATCCCTCAACTAATCATCCAGGGAAAGATTGAAGGCAAGAGAGGAGTAGGTCGCAAACAAATGTCGTGGATACGGAACATAAAAACATGGACAGGCATTTTTAACACTGGCGATCTTTTGCATGCCGCAAAGGACAGACGTCTGGCCTTAAGATAATTCGCCAATGCACTATAGGTGCACGGCACTATAAGAAGAAGAAGAGGTCGGACTAAAGATTAGTATGAACAAGTCGCAAATATTTACTAATGTGGTGCTATAGTGTATTTTTATGTATGAGAGAGTAATAAAACAATAAATTATGTATGCAAATCCCTAAACTGTTGATACGGGTGACTCAATGAAAAACAGATATTTGTCAACAAGTTTACAGAAGTATGTAGGAAAACAATTTTATATTGAGTATGACCACCAGGTATAAAGGTTGGAGCAGAATAGAATACAATAGTTGTGAGGGTTACTGATCCCTAAATAAGGTTGCCAGTGTCGGAGTGATGGAGGTTAACAGGTACTAATGAATTTGCAAGAAATGTAAGATGTTTATTTTATTGGTTATATATAACCAATAAAAGTTTAATAAGTACCTACCTATTTGCAAAATAAAGTTTAATTCTTTAGATAAAATAAAATGTTTTATTTTATCTGAAATGAGTGCATTCCACGAAGTAAGGGTTTCAACAATCAAACATTTAATTCTTTAATTCCAGAAATCTACGACAGTAATTGACTAGATAAATACCTTATAAACTTATTCCACAGAAAATGTGATAGTGGGTTTTTCCATTTTGTAGGAAGGTCCAAGTGGCGTATTCAAAATTCTTAACAGTTCACTAAAAGTAGGTACTTCAGTTGCAAGGTGCAGTTTATTGTGTATACTAGTGTTATGGAATGGAAAATTTGGAAGTGCCGTGTAAACGCCGAAAAATTGGTCCTTTAACAGTTAATGAAAAAACATTAATATTTAATTGTTTTAAATCACTTACAGACAAACGTTTATATGAAAGTGTTGATGAGACCGTTGAGTTAGTTAGCAGTACACTTAGTGTTGGGAAATCTGGTAAATGTGGTAGTTTTTAAATGCCACGTAATGCCCCAGGAAAACCAAAATTTCAAATAGAATATCATTTTAAAGAAGGACTTCGACGGAAAGTGCGTGAATTCTTCTTTAGACAAGAATTTCCAACATTGGATAAAGTTCTTGTCTTAGTTCGAGATGATAAGGATTACCCAGAAATGAGTCGAATTACGTTATGGAAACTTTTAAAAGAAATAGGCTTCCGCTGAAAAAAGAATCCCAGAAAGTCTATTTTATTAGAAAGAAGCGATATTGTCATATGGAGAAGACATTTTCTAAGAACCATAAAGGAAATGAGAAACCAAATAAGAAAAATATTTTATCTTGATGAAACATGGATCAACGAGGGTCATACACCAAATAAATTTTGGCAGGATGAAACTGTTACAAGTCAAAGGCACGCTTTTGTAAATAACTTATCTACAGGTTTAAACCCACCATCAGGAAAGGGACGCAGGCTGATAATAGTACACATTGGCAGTTCAGATGGTTTTGTTGAAGGTGGTTTATTATCTTTTGAATCAACTCGTACCGGTGACTACCATGAAGACATGAACGCTGATGTCTTTCAAGAATGGTTCGAACAAATGATAGATCTTCTTCCTAAGAACTGTGTAATAGTAATGGATAATGCAAGTTATCACTCCAGACTTATAGAAGCACTGCCCACAACCAAGTGGTTAAAAAAAGACTTGCAGAATTGGCTGAGTTCAAAAAATATTACGTACCATCCCGGATCTATAAGAAAGGAACTTTATTCGTTGTGTGCCCTTCATAAAGAAAAATTTAAAAAATACGAAATTGATGAAATTGCCAAAAATCGTGGAATGACAGTACTTAGATCCCCACCATATCATTGTAAATTAAACCCAATTAAACTGGTATGGGCACAGATAAAGAGTGAAGTTTCAAGAAAAAATACTACTTTTAAAATTCATGATGTTAAACAGTTGTTTTTGGAGGCCGTAAATAATGTAAAAACTGAAAACTGGGAAAAGGCAGTAAATCACACTATTAAAGAAGAGGAAAAAATGTGGAAGCTGGACAATATTACTGATAAAATGATCGAGCGAGTTATTATAAATCTTGGTTCTGAAAGTTCATCTTCTGAATCTGATTTGGATTTGTAACAAGTAGCTGTAAGTTTTATATTAATATTTTTATTCATCTATTTAACATACCTTAGACGGTTTTAAAAACTCTTTTTCTCTTTTGTAATTTTTAAAAATTAAAAAAAAATGTGAATTTTTTAAAACCCTTTTTAATGTAGGCCAGTCAGTTCTAATATAGTGTGTGATAAAAGAGGTCACTTTTGTTTACATACACATAACACTTTATAACACTGAAATATTTCATTTATTTTTTACAATTATTCAAAGTAATTTTTCAATTAATCTTGAGCACACCCATGGAGTGGTCGGAGATACCAGTTAAAATTATGCTAATTACTCTCTCGTTCATAAAAATAAACTATAAATCGAAATATTGCTGTTGACGAAAGGGATATTGTGCAGACTACGTCGTATAAGTACTTAGGACATGAAATTCGGTTGGGCAGAGATAATCAGACATGTGAACTCCTTCTTCGCATAGGATTAGTCTGAGCAGCGTTTGGTATGCAGCAGAGTGGAATCATTAGCATTCACACAAAAGGTAGTTAATAAGATTCGCGTGACTCAAATGGCTATGGATCGCCACATGTTAGATGTCTCTCTGAGAGACTGAATTCCAAACAAAGAATTACGTCGTAGAGCAAAAACAACAAACGCATCGAAAAAATCGCGTTATCAACTTGAATTGGACAGGCCACGTCGCCAGATTGTCAGACAACCGATAACAAAACGTAGTTTAGAGTGGAGACACCCTCCCCAATTTCTTGTCAGAGTATATCAGTTTTAATTTAATAATTTTTTATGTACTTTAAAAAAAATCATTAAAAATATTTTAATCACATAAAAAGAATAATATTATTCAAAATTTAAATCTGTATAACCCTGTAAATGTCATTTTATTTTTATAGTCGTTCTTGGTAATTAAATTTTGCTGAATAATACAGTTTTTTAAAAAGTATTAAATTCCAACCAAATAAAACGTCGAGATAAAAACGTCCTCGTTATATAGTTTTTACTTCCTCCTGACATTTAACAAATTTAAACTAAATTTGTTTTGCAATTTAAAACGAAGCTGAAATAAGTCAGCCAAAAAAGTAAATACGTCACATATTATAGCGACCTTTTTACCCTAATTACATGTTTTGTTTCAGGACGTAGGAGATGAAACCCGGTAGAGAGAAAGAGCCACCGCCCCAACAACATAATACTATTCAAAATGCAAATATCAACCCGAATGTATCTGATCTTATTCCTGCAACTTATCAAAGAAGCGGTCGCCTGTCCAACATACTGCGCTTGCATCTGGAAAAACGGAAAACAAACAGTTGAATGTAAAAAGAAAAATCTTTTAGAAATTCCAGAAGGTCTGGATCCCTCGACGCAAGTTTTAGACTTTTCCGGAAATAAAATAGGAAGTCTTTATAAAGACATGTTTCATAAAAAGCAGCTGGTCAATCTACAGCGTCTTTTTTTATCAAATTCTTTAATAAAATCTGTCGATAAAAGCGCGTTCGAAGGTTTGACGAATTTAGTAGAACTGGATTTATCAAGTAATTTAATAGATACAATTCCAAGTGAAGCATTTATACGATGTCGTTCTCTAATGAAATTGACTCTAACATCGAACCCCATTACAGCTCTTAAGAAAAGAAGTTTTGAGCACTTAACGCAACTCAATACCCTCGAGCTCAGTGACTGTAATATATCTGAAATAGAAGAAGGGGCTTTTCAGGGACTTCACAGTTTGGAGTGGTTACATTTAGGAGGCAACCGTTTAAAAACAATAGCGGGTCGTAGAACGCTTCCTGAATATGTAAAGGGAATCGAATTGGAGAAAAATTCTTGGGAATGTGACTGCCATATTCAGGATCTCGCGCGGTGGTTAAAAGACTTTAAAAGTTTACTTTCCGTCGAACCTGTCTGTCAGGGGCCTTCGCGTCTAGCAAGTCGCTCTATTCGGTCGATACCGATCGCTGAGCTCGCTTGTCTTCCAAATATCACGCCTACTTCTTTTTATTTGGAATTGGGAGAAGGAAAGAACGTTTCGCTGACGTGTCATGTACACGCGATACCGGAAGCTACTGTGTCGTGGTGGTTTCAAGGAGAGATGCTGCAGAACGATACGATGGTAGCACCAGGAATTCACTTAATATATTACGTCGAGGAAGGCACCGAAAACAAACGAAGCGAACTATTTATTTACAACGCTAATGCCGACGATAACGGGACTTTTATTTGTAACGCCGAAAATACTGCAGGCTCATCTCAAGCCAATTTCACCATTAGAATTATCCTTAAGGAAAACCCCATTGTAATAGAAGTGCTGTTTCCTTTCGAGTATATTTTAATAGCCATTGTTGGCATTGCTGTGTTGGGTGTATCTGTGTTATTAGCCTTAATAGCATTAATAATTAAGTGTCGACGAAATAATAAACGACGGAAAAAGTTAAGTCAGACTGATGAGATGGTTATGCAATACCAGCAGAATGGAAACAAGCTTGGAGATGGAGTCAAGAGTTTGTCAAATTCTCTTAAGGTAAGAAAATAATATTATTTTTCTTTTCTTTCTTTTATTTCTTCTTCTTTTTGTTCTGTCTTTTAACGAAGGTTGGCGCTAGCTTCTTTAAAAACTTCCCTATCTTTTGCAACGTGAACTATCTGTTCAACACTGAGGTTAGTCCAATATTTGATAATCCTTAGCAAAGATTTCTTCTTTTTTCCTAGATCTTCTCTTCCCCCTACTCTTTCTTACGTGATGACGTCTAGAAGAGAGTCCTTATCGTTTCGAAGTATGTGGCCCAAATACGATGTTTTTCTTATTTTAATTTTGTTTATAAGCTTTCTCCCATGTCCAATTCGTTTTAACACTTATTCGTTGGAAACTTTTACAGTCCAATAAATTTTAATAATACGCCTATATGGCCACATTTCGAATGCCTCCCATTTTTGTACGTATTGGGCTTCTAAGATTCTACTCCATATAGCAGTTGCTACTATAAATAATCATACTCAATTTCTTATTTGTAAACATCGACTTGCATTTTATAAATCCTTTTTGAGTTATTTCAATTCTGAACTGTATCTCCGCATCTTGATCTAACTATAGGAGACAGTTGGAAAGACGGGATTGCTAAGGTTATTTGACTCATAACTATTTTACTATGCTATTGATACTTCTTCTCAACTGTAACTTCTTCATTGATAACTTCCTACGTTTAAGTATCATCATCATCACAGTCATTAACATCTTAGTAGATGTGTTGTGGTTCATAATTGGGCTTCAGCAGCTCGGACAGTTTGATTGATAATATTTCTCCACTGGTCGCGGTCATCAGTTATATGTATTGCTTCAGTATACTGTTTATTGAGAAGCTTTTTAGTAATGTCCGCCCATCGCTGTGGAGATCTTCCGCGTTGGCGTTGAATCTGAGGCCTTCCTTGGACCACCAACCGCTCCATTTTGTGATCACTTCGATGGATATGGCCAAAGAACTTTAAAATTCTAGAGTGAACGTTACTGAAGAGACGCTGATCCGGTTTAATTTCATCCAGAACCGAGATATTTGTACGGCGAGCCGTCCATGGAATTCGAAGCAGGCGTCTTTATGTCCACATTTCAAAGGCGTCTATACGTCGTCGATCTGATTCTTTGACTGTCCATATCTCGCATGCATAGTAAAATATGGAAAAGACCAGAGTTGAAACGAGTCTTTTTTTGTTTGTCATAGTAATGTGACGATCACGCCAGACCCCGTTTAGTTCACTCATTGCTGCTCTTGCTAGTTGAATGTGTCTTCTAATTTCGGATTCACAACTGCCTGTGTTGTTAACTAGAGCAAGATATATCATAAGTTAACCAAAATATATCATAGATGAGACTACCTCGCATCCCGCAATAGTTTGGGTTTGAGGAAACTGTTGCTGGCGATCAATAACCATGATTTTGGTTTTGTTTTAGTTAACCATGAGTCTAAATTTAGCACTTTCTACCTCGAGTTTTTTTAATAATTTAATAATTTCTTCTGGAGTAGAGGCTAAAAGTGTAGTGTCGTCTGCGAAACGCAAGATAGATATCTTTACACCACCTAGGTTTACTCCTCCCTCCCAACCATCCAAAACTCTGCGCATTATGAACTCCGAATAGATGTTAAATAATAAGGGAGATAAAACGCATCCTTGGCGTACTCCCTTCTCCAAAGTGTATTTGTGAGACAGATATCCGTCCATTCGAATATATGCCAGGTTATCTTGATACAGTTTGCTAATAAGGTGAGTAAGTGTTTAGGTACACCCATTGTCGTCAATATGTTCCATAGTTTGTCCCATCTAACATTATCAAAGGCCTTTGTATAATCGACGAAACATATAAATATCGGGATCTGGTATTCTCTGGTTTTTTCTATGATGTTTCGTACATTAAGGATTTGTTCTCTAGTACCTCTGCCCTTTACAAATCCAGCCTGCTCAGGTGCTATTTGCCAACTTATGAAGTTTTCTAGACGCCGTTGCAGTATGTAAAGGATCACCTTACTGGCGTGTGATATTAGAGCTAATAGCCTGTAGTTGTTACAATTATTTGTTGAACCTTTCTTATAAAGAGGTATGATTTATGATTTACTTTTAAGTATAGTTAAGCCTAAATGGTATGACGATAAAATGAAAAAAGTTAATTTTTTTACAATGTACAAAGTATCTCATTTTGTAAACCTGGTCGGGTAAAACGGATTGGTTTTTGAATATGAATAAAGACGATATTAAAGTTAAATAAATTGACTTTAAAAATAAAATATGATTCATATAACATTGATATTAAATAAATTTATATTTTAAAAACGACAAAAATCGCATGAGTATGGCTCACCATCATTCTTTACCCGGGCGCAAACTTCGTTTGTCCAACGTTGACATTGCTTACATATTACCCAACTATGATATTGATTTGGAATACAGTTTCGAGCATTAAATGCAAACTTCGTCTTCGTCTCCATCATCTGAAATGCTATCCCTTTTGATTCTTTCTCTTTATTATTTTCTTGGTTTTTGAACATATTTCCTATTTTTTCCTTTGACATTCCAATTTTGTTTTTCTTCCAAATTTAGTTTTAGTTGTTTGATAGGCTTTTTACCTATGGACTTTTCCAGTTCTTTTTTATAAGGTGTTGAGCTAAACACAGCTGTTTTTTCTCTCCTTTTATCATTGGGGTTAATTTTTCTTTCTGCCTAAGAAAGACCAATTAGTTATTTAAGAGTGAATTGAAATTTATTGACATAGTGCGAACAAGAGGATATCGCATTAGCATAGAACTTGTTGCAAAAAAGGGGAGAAGGAATAAAAGGACAATTTTCCTTATTTACAAGCACCTTAGGAGATTTTTGTGGTGTGAAAGTATCTGAAGGTATGATACGAAGGATACAACTAAGATCAAGAAAAGATTTATGCCGACGAAGTTACTACTGACGTACCTATCAGCCCCAAAGATTTTCTGTCAATTCATGAGAGATTTATGCCGACGAAGTTACTACTGACGTACCTATCAGCCCCAAAGATTTTCTGTCAATTCATGGAATTGACAGAATTGACAATTCATTCATATTCGCACATTCTTGTGAAGGCCAAAATAAAAACTGTACAGTTGCAAAATTTCTGTATAATATTGTTCAGATAAAGAAGAGACTTAAGACCATACATACGATTTTTCAATGAGAGGGTATTCGTACATGGAAACAGATAAAAATATGGGGATTATAAATCTAAAAACCAGGGGTCGAATTGCCAGAGAAATGGCTGAAGTTTTCCGGAATTAAAGAAAAAAATCGTTTCCTTTTGATGTGATTAAAGTTGACCAAAATATGCTGAAATCCTGGACTGAGTATTTTAATAATAAATTCTTAAAAAAATGTCCATTTTAAACAAGAACTATACAAGACCAAGTTTTAAAAATTGAACAAAAATCTCCCCATTTGATTTTTCATCGTCCAAGGTCTATGGAAATCTCGTTTCAAATACAGTGATTCTAAAGGGCAAAAAAACCAATGACACTCCAGTTACCTTTAGCATCTCATCAGCAGCTGCTACCTCTTTCTAGAGAAACATTTAAAGATGGGTTTCTTTGTTGTACATTTTGTGTCAAAGAAGCTCAGCAGTACTTTGTGAAACTTTACCACATCAGTAAATAAGTATTCTTCTTAAGTATAGTTTTTTAATTATAATAAAAGATAATAAAGGCCTTGTTTAACTTCTTTTTGTAAGCTAGCAGTAACGTTTTTTTTTATTACTTTAAAATATTTTTATTAAATTTATATATTTAACACTTATACTTAACCTGTTAAATAAAGGAGTTTAGGATCATACAAGTTAAATATTACAAAATAAAAAAATAGAAAATGTAGTTTTCTGAAAAATATACTAATAGTGACATTGCGCCTTTATTTTCTGTACCCTTCAAATGGCAGAAAAAAGTAAGGTTAAGGTTATGCTTTCAATGTGTGGTCAATTATAAATGTGTGGACAGTGTTGCCAACTGTGCCTATTAAAAAATATCACAATAATTCCATTAATTCGTATAATACTGTACAAGAAAAAAACAAAAAAGTTATAATATAAATCTAATATATTAACGAAATTTAAATCAGTTTCACTTTATTAAGTTTGCAACTTCATAAATCTTTAAAATCATAAGTTATTAAAAACAGTTTAATGAAACCCCATTATGTAAATAATAACAAAAGGCTGTTTTTACCGCGGATAAAATATTTAAAGCCTCCTAATTAGTATTTCCGATTTCAGCAAATAAACACTTCGAACCAAAACGATGAGTTGACAAATTTCGAGACCCAGTCATGCGAGCTGATGTCTAGCAGCACCCTCTCCCCTGTTCGAGATACTCGAGAAATTAGAAGCCCTGATTCCCTCCAGGCCATGCAACTTAAGCAGAATCCTGATATAATTAATGGTATGTACAGATGTTGTTCTTTTAAAAGATAAATATGAGTTTTCTAGAGTTTCCGTAGAATTTTATTGTTGCAGTTAATTTATATTTTCATAAATTATTATGCACAAATCTGTAAAGTCTGCAACACGTTTTGTGATAATTTGATTTAAACAGAAAAGGCTCTCTAGGGAATTAATTTATCTTAAATACCTTCCGAACAGTTCTTTTTGGTGATAATACTTTGCGACTGACCTATTTAAAAAAATTCAAGAAATATATAAAATATACAAAATTTGATATTTTCTATGGGATTAAAACAAAATTCACTTCAAATCACATGTACTTAGATTGTTAAAAATTATAGGCTCCTAACCTATTACTAATTAGCAAAGAGCTAATAGGTAAAAGAAGACATTTGACGGAAAAATAGGGCTCTACCTAAACAACAATGAAGAAATTAAATATGCATATCCACCGCTCAATCCGAAAAGACGTAAGAGAAAACAATACAACTAGAG